TTCGTCGAACATGACGACATTCACATCCTGGCGCACCAGTCCCCGGCCCATTGAAATCTTCTGCTTGTTATCCGGGGAAAGATTGGAAGCCCGGGTGGTCAGCATGTCGGTGACCTCGAGCATTTCGGCAATAGCCGTCACCCGTTCCTTGACCGTCTCCTCGTCCCGCCCCCGGTTTCGAAGCGGGAACGCAAGATTGTCGTAAACCGTCATCGTGTCGTAGATGACCGGGAACTGGAACACCTGTGCGATATTCCGTTTTGCCGGCGGCAATGCGGTCACGTCCTGATCATCGAACAGGATCTTGCCTTCGGAAGGAACCAGCAGTCCGGAAATGATGTTCAGCAGGGTGGACTTGCCGCAACCCGATGGTCCGAGGAGAGCATAGGCGCCTCCGTCTTCCCAGGTCAGGTCGATCTTCTTCAGCGCATAGTCCTCATCGCTCTCCGGTTTGGAGAGGTAGCTGTGACGCAGATTGGAGAGTTTGATTTGTGCCATGATGTTCTCCCCTCAGGCCACCAGCTCGCCGTCAGGCGCGAAGAAGAAACAATGGCTCGGATCCAGATAGAACGTATGGACTTCGCCCACGAAATAGGGATGGACACCCGGTGACAGGGACACCCATGAATGTCCGTGCAGGTCAAAATGGGCGCTGCTTTCAGATCCGCTCAGTTCCGTCACCAGAACATGGCCTTCCAGCCGGACGGTGTGGGAGGGAGACTCCACCGGCAACACGTGGTTTGGCCGGATCGCAAGCGTGTAGGGACCATCCTTGAGCCGTGCCACGCCGTCCGCGGCCTTCCAACGGATCTCGTCCGTCAAGACGACCGTGTCGCCCTGCTTGTTCACGGGTGCAATGTTTATGGGCGGATTGGAAAAAACCTTGGCGGCATCCAGGTCTTTCGGTTTGCGATAGATGTCCGCAGTCGGACCGAACTGAACCACGTTGCCGTCGGTCATCAGGGCCGTGTGTCCACCGAGCAACAGGGCTTCCTCAGGCTCCGAAGTCGCGTAGACGACCACGGCGCCCCGTCCTGCAAACAGGTCCGGCAGCTGATCACGCAGTTCTTCACGAAGCTTGTAGTCGAGGTTCGCGAGCGGCTCGTCGAGAAACACTGCATCGCTTTCCTTGACGATCGCGCGCGCCAGAGCGGTTCGCTGCTGCTGTCCTCCGGAAAGCTCGTGCGGCCTGCGGCCCAGAAAGGGCTTCAGTTTCATGAGATCCGCCGCCTCTTCAACCCTGCCCTCGATCTCGGACTTGGCGACACCGCCGATCTTCAGGGGAGAAGCGATGTTATCGAACACCGACATGTGCGGATAGTTGACGAAAAACTGGTGCACCAGGCTGATATTGCGCTTTTGCGCCGTCAGCTTGGAGACGTCCTTGCCATTCAGGATGATCTGCCCGGACGCAAGGTTGTCGAGACCTGCCATCAGCTTGATCAGCGAGGTTTTGCCGGCACCCGTTTCTCCAAGGAGAACGTTGAAGTGGCCGGGATGAAGCGTCAGGCTCGTGTCCTTGACATGAGTGATGCCCTGCACGCGCTTGCTGACGTTTTTAAGTTCTAGAGACATTTTTTCTGCCCGAGTCCGGACCGGGCCCTTATGCGAAACACCGGTTTCGCCGCCCGTCACCTGCCGCGCGGTGATGGACCGGGAACATGCCCCGGTCCATACGAGTTAAACGCTACGCTTTTGCTTACTGACCCCAGCGGGCGACAAGCTCGTCGTAGTTCACGGTTTTGCCCTCTGGCTTCTCGTTGTCGAGCTTGGCCTTGGGAGCACCCGGCTTGGAAAGCCAGACCTGCGGATCCTGCGGCTCGTTGAGACGCGGGCCGCAGCCACCGTAGACATTGGCACGCTCGTCAGCCTGCTGCATGCGGCCCATGACGATGTCCATTTCTTCGGCAAGACGGTCCATTGCCTCCTGCGGCGTGAACGCTCCGGAGTTCACGTCACCGATCTGCTGCCACCAGATTTGTGCCAGCTTGGGATAATCGGGAACGTTAATTCCGGTCGGAGACCATGCCACACGGTCAGGAGACCGGTAGAACTCGACCAGACCACCCAGCTTCGGCGCACGTTCCGTGAAGGACTCGTGGTTGACGGTGCTGTCGCGGATGAAGGTCAGACCGACGTGGCTCTTCTTCGTGTCGACGGTTTTGGAAACGACGAACTGAGCATAGAGCCAGGCTGCTTTTGCACGGTCTTCCGGCGTAGACTTCAAGATGGTCCAGGAACCCACGTCCTGGTAGCCGACCTTCTGGCCTTCTTCCCAATAGGGACCATGCGGGCTCGGAGCCATGCGCCACAGCGGCGTACCTTCGTCATCCACCGTGTTGTTGCCTTCCGACTTCGGCTTCACCATGTCCGCGGTGAAGGCTGTGTACCAGAAGATCTGCTGGGCGACGTTACCCTGGCTGAGAGCCGGCAGAGACTGATAGAAGTCGAAGCTTGCAGCACCCGGAGGCGCGTAGTTGCGCAGCCATTCGTCCCACTTGCGGATCGCATAGACCGCAGCCGGACCGTTCGCCGCACCACCGCGGGAAACGGAGGCACCGACCGGATTGCAGGTACCCGCTTCCATGCGGATGCCCCACTCGTCGACCGGAATACCGTTCGGCTCACCCTTGTCGCCGGCACCCGCCATGGAGAGCCATGCGTCGGTCATGCGCCAGCCGAGATCCGGTGCACGCTTGCCGTAGTCCATGTGGCCGTAAATGGTGACGCCGTCGACTTCTTTCACGTCTTTGGAGAAGAACTCGGCAATGTCTTCATAGGCCGACCAGTTGACCGGCACACCCAGATCATAACCGTACTTGTCCTTGAACGCGGTCTTCAGGTCTTCACGGTCGAACCAGTCCTTGCGGAACCAGTAAAGGTTTGCGAACTGCTGGTCGGGAAGCTGGTAGAGATCGCCATCCGGACCCGTGGTGAACTGGGTCCCCATGAAATCTTCCAGGTCGAGACCCGGGTTTGTCACACCCTTGCCGTCGCCACCCATCCAGTCGGTCAGGTTGTAAGCCAGCTGAAGACGGGAATGAGTACCGATCAGGTCGGAATCATTGACATAGGCGTCATAGAGGTTCCGGCCGGTCTGCATCTGGGTCTGAACGGCCTGAACAACCTCGCCTTCACCGAGGATCTGGTGATTGACCTTGATGCCTGTGATTTCCTCGAACGCTTTCGCCAGGACTTCCGACTCGTAAGAGTGGGTCGGAATACCTTCGGAAAGAACGTTGATTTCCATTCCATCGAACGGTTCGGACGCCTGAATGAACCACTGCATTTCTGCAAGCTGCTCGTCCTTGGTCAGAACGGATGGCTGGAATTCCTGGTCGATCCATTTCTTCGCCGCTGCTTCGTCGGCAAAAGCGGACCCTGCTCCCGCAAGTACAGCACCAGCTGCAACTGCGGAGAGTAGATACTTACGCATCTGCATCTCCTCCCATGTGAGAATAAGAGCCGTGTTTATCCGGCTTCGCATACATGGCCACACCGTTGCCATGATGTCAAACTAATTTTTTAGTAGGTTTTTCAGTCGCCGCCAAAGAAAGTCAAGATATTGAAATAAATGTCTTTTTCAGCCTGCCAATCGACGCTCGCAAGCATCGAATTTCATCAAACATTGATGCTCGGACGGCTGAGTGTGGCACAATCTTGGCATTTCACATAGTGGAAATTTCAGTTTCGTGTCTTTCGGATTGCTAGCAAAATAGCTTCACTTGGTATTCGTTTTGCACTGCAAACGAAAAAACAAGTCATATTTTGCAGTGCAAAATCGCCTCGCCGGCAATAGCGGTGACTGCGCCTCCTCCTTTGAGAACCCGCACCGCGTCGCCGCGCTGGTCATGAATTCAAATTCACGGAAAACCACCTGCGGGGCACAAGTGGAATTTCACCCGATCAACTCCGGCAAGACGCAGGTTGTTCGGCGCGGCAAGGTTTCGCCGCCCTTGCCAATCGGTTGTTCCGTTGGAAAACTTCAGAGCACGGTTCTGACTCGCCAAAGTTCGGGAAACAGCTCCACTTCAAGCATACGTTTCAGATAGGACACGCCGCCCGTGCCTCCTGTGCCCCTCTTGAAACCGATCACACGCTCTACCGTCGTGACGTGATTGAATCGCCAGCGCCGGAAATAGTCTTCCAGGTCAACCAGCTTTTCTCCAACCTCGTAGAGTGCCCAGTATCGGGTCGGATCCTGATAGACCGCTTGCCAGAGGTCCCTGATCTCCTCGATTTCCCGGTGTGGCTCTTTTGCCGGTATGCCCGTGATGTCGTCCGACACATTGAAGCCCTGGCGGCGGGCAAAGGCCAGCACCACCTGATATAGACTGGGTTTTTCCAGCTCGGCTTCCAGCAAAGCGGAACTGTCGGGATCATGCTCGTGTGGCCTTGCCATTGAGAGATTGCGATTGCCGAGGGCATACTCGATCAGCCGGTATTGAAGAGACTGAAAGCCGGAAGACTGCCCCAGAGCATCCCGGAATCGGGTATAATCGCTGGGTGTCATGGTCCGCAGCACATCCCATGCCGAGTTGAGTTGCTCCATGATGCGGCTGACACGGGCGAGCAGTTTCATTGCTTCCGGCAAGCGGTCATTGGCAATCGCATCCCGAGCGGCATGGACTTCGTGAAGCATGAGCTTCATCCAGAGTTCGGATGTCTGATGCTGAATGATGAATAGCAATTCGTCCGGCGCATCCGACAGGGCCTTTTGGGCAGACAGAATTTTGGGAAGGCCAAGATAATCCCCATAGGACATCTTGTCCGAGAAGGTCATTTGAGCACCTTCCGATGCCGGATCATAAGCGTCACTCTTTCCGGTCTCTTTCGTCACTTCCTGCTCCCACCTTGCATGCGCCTTGCTTGGACCAGCCATCTATACTGCGACAAGCAGGGCTTTGAACAGTTTCAATTTCAATAGCTTAAAGATGCAATCGGGTTCGAAAATACCACCATGCATGCCTGGATGATTGGGCTGCAGGCAACTTGCTAGACTATTGTGTCGAAGCCGCCGCTTCCAATATTGCGGTTGCGGAGAAGTCGTAGTTGCTGCGACCGTTTCGGGTCTTGCAAAAGCGGCTGAAGTCAATCTTGTCCCAGTTGCCGTCTCCAAGGTTTTCCAGGTACAGCGCCACATTGTCTGCAGTGATCGGCGACATCTTGAAACGGACGTCCACGTAAACTTCACCCGCCGAAATCCTGTAGAAGTGATCCCTGAGCATGACGATCGCCCAGGCACCGGCAAAAAAATGACCGCCATGGGACATGGTCATTTCCCGGCGCTGAATGGCGTCCATGGCGCGCTTGGACCAGTTGAGGCCCGCAAAGAGGACGTCCGCCCCTGCTTTCAATCCCGTTTCTTCCACCGCCTTGCGAGCACCGAAGGCGATCGCGTCATTTGCACTCCAGACGATATCCACCGGCGTACGGGCGAGAACGTCCCTGGCGCGCGCATACGCGGTTTCCTCGTTCCAGTTCACCGGGATGGCGTGTATGAGATCAACGTCGGAATTGTCCGCGACGGCGCGCTGCATACCCGTTTCACGTAGCAGTCCGGCCGGTGTCGACGTGTCTCCGGTCAGGGCAAGCAACCGGATCTTTTTTCGATCAGGATGCAGCAGGCGTTCGTTTTCAAACAGCGAAAAGGCCATTTCATAGCCGGCAGTCTCATTGTCCGGCACCACGGAAGCGATGATCTTGCGCAGATCGATATTGCGCAATTCGAGTATCGCTTTTTGTTTCCGGGTAAGATTGTTCAGGAGAAAGAGAACTTTGCTCGGCTTGCCATCCAACAATTGAACCAGACGGGCAGCAGCCTGATATTCGTTCACGAGAATAAAATAGTCGGGCAGATTTCCTTGCTCCAGCCGCAACTGCAACCGCTCCTCCATACCATAAGGCTGTCGATCGGCGTTCAGGATTTCAAGGTCGATATTCAGGTCCGCTGCCGCGGCAGACATTGTCTTGGAGACTTCGCCCCAGAACCCGCTGGAGCCGCCCGGATTGATAAACGTCACTCTGAAATCCGCGGCATACGCAACACTGGTGAAGATCCAGAAGACCATGAATAGCAGAAAACGAACGACCATTTTTTTCCTTTTTTGTCAGGCCGGGACTTCGTTGAAAAACAAGTCACCCTGACCGTTCACAATATCTGCACCGGCGTCTTATTCCTAATAAGGGAAACAACTTACTTACCGTTTTTTTCACCCAGCCGGCATTCCACAACGGACACCGCGAACCTGCGTCGCCCGATTGCCTGCAAATTGACGTGGTGCCTGCGTTCGTTTTGTGAAAACGTAAGATGACACAGTGTTTTCAGAATTCAACGGGATCTTCAGATGTCGATCAAAGCAAGCATTTATCATCTGACCCACTATCGATATGACAGGCCAGTCACTCTCGGACCGCAGATAATCAGGCTTCGCCCTGCGCCGCACAGCCGGACCCGCGTCCTGTCCCACTCACTGAAGGTTTCTCCTGCAGGGCATTTCGTCAACCATCAACAGGATCCTTACGGCAACTGGCTCGCTCGCTTCGTCTTTCCCGAACCGGTGCGCGAATTCAAGATCGAAGTCGACCTCGTCGCTGACATGACGGTCTACAATCCGTTCGACTTTTTCGTGGAGGAAAGTGCCGAAGAATGGCCATTCGAATACCCGGAAGATTTGCGTGACGACCTTCAGATCTACAGGAAGACGGAACAGCCGGGTCCTCGTCTGGAACAATTCCTGGCATCGGTTCCAAGAGATCGTCTGAGAACAATCGATTTCATCGTCGCCTTAAATGCCCGCGTCTCGAACGAAATCGGTTACGTCATCCGCATGGAACCGGGTGTCCAGACGCCGGAGGAGACCTTTGAAAGGGGAACAGGCTCTTGCCGGGATTCCAGCTGGCTTCTGGTTCAGGCCATGCGTCATCTGGGCTTCGCCGCCCGTTTTGTTTCAGGTTATCTCATTCAGCTGAAACCGGACCTGGAAGCCCTGGACGGTCCGTCCGGCACCGATCATGACTTTACGGATCTTCATGCCTGGGTCGAGGTTTACCTTCCCGGTGCAGGATGGATCGGCCTGGATCCGACATCCGGTCTTCTCACAGGCGAAAGCCACATTCCCCTGGCGGCTACACCGCACTATTCGAATGCCGCGCCGATCGTCGGTGTTGCCAGTGCGGCCGAAGTCGACTTTTCCTTCGACATGCAGGTTTCCCGCATCGCGGAGCACCCGCGTATTACAAAGCCCTTTTCCGAAGAATCCTGGTCAGCCCTAAATCGGCTCGGAACCAATGTCGACCGTGTTCTGGAACAGGAAGACGTGCGTCTGACGATGGGCGGTGAACCCACCTTTGTGTCCATTGACGATTTTGAAGCCGACGAATGGAATACGGACGCGGTCGGCCCCACGAAACGGGGACTTGCGGATATTCTCATCCGCCGCTTGCGTGACCGGTTCGCGCCCGGTGGATTTCTTCACTACGGCCAGGGAAAGTGGTACCCGGGCGAAACCCTGCCACGCTGGACATTTTCGCTCTACTGGCGGCGCGACAAAAAACCGATCTGGCGCGATCCCGGCCTCATCGCCGAAGAAGGCGAAGACACCGGAATAGATGCGGACAAGGCTCAGACCTTCATGCAACGGGTTGCCAGTCGCCTCGACCTGGAAACCGATTGTGTGGTCCCGGCGTACGAGGATCCCGCTGTCTGGCTGGTGAAGGAAGCCAATCTTCCGGCAAACGTTACACCTGACAACTCGGAACTGGAGGATGCGGAGGCGCGTCACCGGATCGCCCGCGTTTTCGACAGGGGACTTGCGACGCCTGCCGGATACGTTCTGCCGATCCAGCGCTGGCAGTCCAAGGCAGATGGCGGTCGTTGGCGATCCGAAAACTGGAAGCTGCGCCGCAAGGCATTGTTCCTGATACCCGGTGACAGTCCCGTCGGATACAGATTGCCTCTGGAATCCCTGCCCCATGTACCTCCGGCCAGCTATCCCTACACGAACATACTCGATCCGACCGTGCCGAGGCCGCCACTGCCCGAATTCCCCGCAGGCCCCCGTCCGGAGCGGCCTCAGGGCATTGCCCGGTTCACGGCGAACGACCCTAGTCAGGTCAGGCAGGAACAGGAACTTCCTGAAGACGATCTTGACGACGACGCGGTTCGCACGGCCTTGTCGGTCGAACCCAGAGACGGCAGGCTCTGTGTGTTCATGCCGCCTGTCGAACAGCTTGAGGACTACCTGGAGCTGATCTCGGTCGCCGAAGCGGCAGCGGAGGAACTCGGCCTTCCCGTCCATATCGAAGGCTACCCGCCGCCAACCGATCCACGCATGAACGTTATCCGAGTTGCTCCTGATCCCGGTGTGATCGAAGTCAATATCCACCCGGCGACAAGCTGGCAGGAATGCGTCTCGATCACCGAAGGTGTCTATGAAGAAGCGCGGCAATGCCGGTTGGGCGCCGACAAGTTCATGATAGACGGCAAGCACACCGGCACAGGGGGTGGCAACCACGTTGTTGTTGGCGGGGCGACACCTCTCGACAGTCCGTTCCTCAGACGTCCGGATCTGTTGCGCAGCCTGATCCTGCACTGGCAGCGCCATCCCAGTCTGTCCTACCTTTTTTCCGGGCTTTTCATAGGTCCGACATCACAGGCCCCACGTGTGGATGAAGCGCGCCACGACGGTCTCTACGAACTTGAGGTCGCGCTTTCCCAGGTCCATCGCCCCGACGAGGGTCCTGCACCTTTCCCGTGGCTGTTGGACCGGCTCCTGAGAAACATTCTCGTTGATGTCACCGGCAACACGCACCGGGCGGAGATCTGCATCGACAAGCTGTATTCCCCCGACGGTCCGACCGGGCGATTGGGTCTTGTTGAATTCCGCGGTTTCGAAATGCCACCGGATCCGCGCATGAGCCTGGCGCAGCAACTTCTGCTCAGGGCCCTGATTGCGCGACTCTGGCGGCAACCGCTTTCCGGCAATCTCGCGCGCTGGGGTACAACACTCCATGACCGGTTCATGCTCCCGCACCATGTCTGGTCCGATTTTCAGGACGTCCTTGAGGACCTCAAACATCACGGTTTTGCCATGCGGCCGGAATGGTTTGAGGCACAGGCCGAATTCAGGTTCCCGTTCTGTGGCGAGATTGAGGTCGAGGATGTCCACCTGGAACTCCGTCAGGCACTCGAACCGTGGCATGTGCTTGGCGAAACCGGTGCGATCGGCGGAACTGTGCGATATACGGATAGTTCAACCGAACGCCTTCAGGTCAAACTCACCACTAGCGATCCCGAGCGGTATACGGTGACATGCAATCGCCGAATGATGCCCTTGCGAAAAACGGAAACCAACGGTGTCGCCGTTGCAGGTGTTCGGTACAAGGCCTGGCAGCCGTCCATGGCCCTTCATCCCGTCCATCCGGTCGATGCCCCCCTGACATTTGATATTTTCGATCGCTGGAGCGGGCGGGCAATAGGCGGATGTGTCTACCATGTCGCCCATCCGGGCGGACGCAGTTATGACACGTTTCCCGTCAACGGAAACGAAGCGGAAGCACGCCGTCTGTCCCGCTTCGAGCCGCACGGGCACACACCCGGGCTTTACGTACCGGAAACCGAAAGACCGCATCCGGAATTTCCCATGACCTTGGACCTCAGGCGCCCAGTGGGTGTATAACGCGTTCCTGACATCGGGCAGACCGGATAGGGTTCGTGTGAATGCGTTTGGATGAAACAGAAAATGTGGGCGATCACGGCTACGGATTGTTGAAATCCTATCAGCCATTTCCGGGTGTTTCCGATGAACTTCTGGATCCGTCCGGCAAGGTGCGGCCCGTTTGGCGTCCTTTTCTGGATCATCTGTCATCCATGAGTCCGGAAGATATCAGCGACCGGTTCGCGCGGGGGAACCAGTATCTGAATGACGCTGGTGTTTATTTTCGGCAATACGGTCAGAACGAAGCACTGGAGCGGGAATGGCCACTCAGCCATATCCCCGTGATCATAAGCGAAAGCGACTGGCAGATTATTGCAGAAGGCCTTGTTCAGCGGGCAGAGTTGCTGGAAAAGGTCGTCGGTGATCTCTATGGTGACAACAGGCTTGTGTCGGAAGGGTATCTTCCGGCAAGCCTGATTGCCGAAAGCACTGAATGGCAACGCCCCCTGGTTGGCATTACCCCGCCGTCAGACAACTTCCTTCATTTTCTTGCATTTGAAATCGGCCGCGGCCCCGACGGAACCTGGTGGGTTCTTTCCGACCGGGCACAGGCGCCTTCGGGCGCAGGGTTTGCGTTGGAAAACAGGGTTGCCACCGGACGCGTGTTCAATGAATTCTTCGCCAGGGCGAATGTCCACAGGCTTGCCGGTTTCTTCCGCCGGTTCCGCGATCATTTGCTGGATCTGCGCGGAGAACAGGACAGCCGGGTCTCGATCCTGACACCCGGCCCGCTCAACGATACCTATTTTGAACATGCCTATATTGCCCGCTATCTCGGATTCATGTTGCTGGAAGGTGAGGATCTGACCGTCGAAAACGGGCACTTGATGGTCCGCACGGTTGCAGGACTGAAGCCGGTCAGTGTCTTGTGGCGGCGGCTCGACTCGGCATGGACCGATCCGGTTGAACTCAACGAGGAATCGCATCTCGGCACGCCCGGCATGGTGCAGGCCGTCCGTGAGGGCAACGTGACGATGATCAATGCCCTGGGGACCGGCATTCTGGAAACCCGCGCCCTGCTCGCGTTCCTGCCGCGGATCTGCCAGCACCTTCAGGGAGAGGGACTGAAACTGCCGAATGTCGCCACGTGGTGGTGCGGTGAAGAGACGACACGTTCCTATGTGAAAGAGCACGCCGAAACCATGATGTTCAGCCCGGCTCGCTCAACTGCCCTGCCTTTCACTTCTTCGCAGACGGATTTCATCGGAAAGGACTCCGACAAATTCCGCAAAGGCATCCTTGAAAACTGGATAGACAGCGAAAAAGGCAATCTTGTTGCACAAGAGGCCGTCACTCTGTCGACAACCCCGGCCTATGACGAAGGCCTGCTTGTCCCGCGACCGATGAGCCTGCGCGTCTTTCTGGCGCGCACCCACAAGGGGTGGGAAGTCATGTCTGGAGGATTTGCACGGATCGGCAAGGGGGAAAGTGCCAGCGCGATCGCAATGCAGACGGGGGGATCGGCAGCCGATGTCTGGATTGTCGGTGAGCGTAAACCCTACAGGGAAACCCTGCTGCATCAGACCGAGTCTCCTTTCTTCAAATCACAACCCGGTTCGCTGCCGTCGCGGGCGGCGGATAATCTGTTCTGGCTCGGTCGCTATGTGGAGCGCGCGGAAGGCGCAGTGCGACTGCTGCGTGCTTATCATGCACGCCTGATGGAAACAGCGGACCCGGATGCACCTCTTGTGGCAAAGACAGCTGACTATCTGGACAAGATCGGTGTTCCACCGGAAAATCCTGTACCTGAGGGTCTGTGTGAGATGCTGCAATCGGCGGTGAACAGTGCCGGCAAGGTCCGGGATCGTTTTTCAGTGGATGGATGGCTGGCTCTCAACGATCTCGCGCAAACCGCTAATGGCGCAAGACGTGTCATGAACGAAAACGCCGATATTCCCCGAGCAATGAGCCTGTTGCTGCGAAAGATCACGGGTTTTTCCGGGTTGGTACACGAAAACATGTACCGGTTCACAGGCTGGCGATTCCTGAGCATTGGACGCGCGCTTGAGCGCGCAAATCGCATGACGGATCTTCTTTCGGTCTTCACTGGTCCGAACGCTCCGGAAGGGGCTCTGGAAATGCTGCTTGAAGTCGGTGACAGTGCCATGTCGATGAGCCGCCGCTACGCCGTTTCGCTAAGTCATGCAACTGTTCTGGACCTGCTTGCCATGGATCCCAAGAATCCACGTTCGGTCATGTACCAGCTGACGGACATGAAGGAGCACATAAGCGTGCTGCCGGGCGCGACGGACCGTGGTTACCTGTCAGATCTCGCGCGCGCGATTCTCCAGGTTCACACCAACCTTGCCGTCGCAACACCGGAGACTTTGACGCCCGAAGCCCTGGAGGAAATCAAGGACCAGATCGCTTTCCTTTCGGTGGAGGTTACCGATGCCTACATCCGGTAGTCTGAAAATCCACGGGTCAAACCTCAACATCAAGGGTGTACCTTGCTTTACGACGTGAACCTGGAAATCACATACGACTACGCCAGTCCGGCCAACTCGGGGCGCCATGCACTTCGGCTGGTCCCCGCGACGATACCGGGCGAACAGCATCTTGAGTCTTCCAGCATCAGGCTTTCACCGGGCCCGTCTGAACGCCGGGACAGAATTGACTTTTTCGGCAATGCAGTCACCGATGTCGCCTACCGAAGACCGCATAGCGAACTGGTTTTCAGTCTGGCCGCCAGGATCAACCGGACGGCAACACCCGAAGAGTTCGATATCTCGCCACCCCTGAAAAGCCTGGGAAGGGAGCTGCGTGCAATACAATCGCTCAAGCCGGATGAACCCGTTCATTTTCTGACTGCGTCGCCGCGCCTGCCGCTTGCACCGGCGTTTGCCGTTTATGCCCGGCAACATGCGGCCCCGGACATGAGCGCAATTTCCGCCGTCGAGACAATCGGCAGGGCTTTGCATGCCGATATGGACTTTGACGCGGATGCAACCACCGTCGACACACCTGCGCTTGAAGCCTTCGAACGCCGTCACGGCGTTTGCCAGGACTTTTCCCACATCATGATCGCCTGCCTCAGAAGTATCGGTATTCCGGCGGGCTATGTGAGCGGCTTCCTCAGGACTATTCCACCTGAAGGCAAACCGCGCCTGGAAGGCGCCGACGCGATGCATGCCTGGATACGCGCCTGGTGCGGCATCGATGTTGGCTGGATCGAGTACGACCCGACCAATGCCCTTCGGGTCGGACAGGACCATATCGTTGTTGCCCGAGGCCGGGACTACGGCGATACGGCTCCGGTGAAGGGTGTCCTGAGAACCTCAGGCACCCAGACCACCGACCACAAGGTAGATGTGATCCCGCGCTGACATGGATTGTTGCTGGCATCCAGGCGCATGTACCTGACCTGAAATCGAACACTTACCGAATGGCGCGATCTTCGGCATCGAAGAAATGCATGCGCGTTTCATCGAACACGAGCCCGATCCGCGCGCCTTCCTCGATCGTGTCGGCGCCGCTGATGCGCACGAGAATGGTCTCCAGACCATCAAGTGCGACATAGAGAAAGGTGTCCGCGCCGAGATATTCGGCAACTTCCACCGTTCCGCTGCAATGCCCTTCGCCGTCTCCGACAATGGACATGTGCTCCGGGCGAACGCCCAGCCGGACAGGCCGCTGCGGAAGTCCCGCATGCGGGTAGTGGCCTCCACCGTGACCCTGCAATGAAAACTGATCTCCTTCGACCGAACAAGGCAGCACGTTCATTTTCGGTGACCCGATAAATTGCGCGACGAACAGATTGTCTGGCCGTTCATAAAGCTCGCGCGGCGAACCGACCTGCTCGATCCGTCCGGCCTGCAGCACCACGATCTTGTCGGCCAGCGTCATCGCCTCGACCTGGTCATGGGTGACGTAGATCATCGTCGTGCCGAGACTCTTGTGCAGACGCGCAATTTCGAAGCGCATTTCCACGCGCAACGCCGCGTCAAGGTTCGACAGGGGTTCATCGAACAGAAACGCACTCGGTTCGCGCACGATCGCGCGTCCGATGGCCACGCGCTGCCGCTGTCCGCCCGAAAGCGCTTTTGGACGCCGGTCAAGATAGTCATCGAGCTTGAGAACTTCTGCTGCCGCGTTGACCTTGCTGTCGATCTCGGCTTTCGGAATTCCGGCCGTTTTCAGGCCGAAGCCAACATTCTCGCGAACGGACATGTGCGGGTAAAGTGCATAGGACTGAAAGACCATCGACAGTCCACGCCCTGACGGTGGCAGCGCCGTGACATCTTTGCTGTCGATCTCGATCGTGCCACGGCTCGTTTCCTCCAGGCCGGAAATCAGACGAAGCAACGTCGATTTCCCGCAGCCGGACGGTCCGACGAATATGACGAATTCACCCTCCTGGATATCAAGGTCAATGCCCTTGATGACCTGTAGTTCGCCGAACCATTTCTCGACCTTGTTGAGCTGTATCGCGCCCATCTCTTGAGTCCTCCGGCTTCCTAAGCTGCTTGTTTCACACGTGTCGGCGATGCCCAGGTCAACCATATGGCTGCCGTCCAGGAGAAAGTGCCGCCTCCGGCGCCTGCTCCCGTTTCAGGGCTGAAATACTCAGCGAAGCCATTGGTTTCGATAAGACTTGCCGTATCGCGGCGGAGTTTGTCCGCACGCACGCCATCGCCAATCTCGGCAAATCCGCGGGCAATCATGTAGTTGATCATCGCCCATACGGGCCCCCGCCAGTACCTGAGCGGCTCGTAGCTCTCGTGATCTGGATCATAGGAGGGCATGAGGTAGCGGACCTTGTCCGAGATCCTGTCGAAATGACCGCACAGCGCCGTAAGCGTTTGCTGATCGGCAAGACCTGCATAAAGTGCCAGGAAAGACGCGCTGGAAATGCCATTCGTGTGTTTTCCGGATCGCCGATCCAGCGCGACATGTGCTTGCAAGTTGTCCTGCCAGAGAATTTTGGCACCTCTTTCCAGGCGCGTGATCCAGCCACGGATCTCGTCTGCATCAGTATCCTTGCCGAGCCGTTCGGCCAGCACGAGCAGGTCGCGGCAGGCACGGAGGAAAATAAAGGTCACACCGGGATCGGCCACGAAGAACGGACAGGTTCTGGCGACTTCCGCCGGGTCCCAGCCGACCTTACGGCAAGCAGCCATGATGCTCAGATAACGGTCATAGTCTTCCTTGTGGGGCCTCATGGCCGGATCGACATGAGATGTATCCTTGCGTTCGTAGGGTCCGATGTCCTTGACTTCTACTGCCCGAAGCGCGTCGTCCCAGTCCGGCAGGTTGTCCCTCCCCGACTCCCAGGGATGGATGACGGCAAGCAGGCCTTCGCCTTCCGGATCCCTGTAGGCAAGGAACCATCGGTGCCACGCCATGAGGTTCGGGAAGAGGGCTGCGGCACGGTTTTCCGATTTGCCGGATGTGTCGGCTTCGACGAGGTCCCGTATGACAGTTGCCGCGACAGGCGGCTGCGAATGACCGGAGCTCGGGATCTGTCCACCACTCGTTCCCCAGACCGAAGGGCCCGGAAAATAGCTCGGGTCGTCTTTTCTGAACAGGATGTGGGGCACCATGCCGTCGTGCCACTGTCCTTCGAACAGCATCTCGATCTCCCGCCAGGCCCGGTCCTGATCGAAGGTTGCAAAGCCCAGCGCAACAAAGACCGAATCCCAGTTCCACTGGTAGGGATAAAGCCCCTTTGTCGGCACCGTGTATCCGCCCTGGTCGTTCTCGATCAGAATGGATCTGGCTGTTTGATCTAACTCTGCGATTGACACAGAAATCTCCTTGGCCTTTCCGGCCGTTTCATTGTTTGCCTTAACCCTTCACACTGCCGGCCGTCAGGCCCTGCACAAGGAAGCGTTCGAACCAGAGGAAAATGACGAGGACAGGCACGGTCGCGATAACCGCACCCGCCATCAGGTGTTGACGAGGCACCTCGGAGGAATTCAGGGATACGACGCCCCGTGACAAGGTGAAGATGTCCGGATTGTCCAGGAACATGAAAGCGAACAGGAACTCGTTCCAGGCAATCATGAAGACGTATAGCGACACGGACGCGAGCGCCGGCAACGAAAGCGGCAACGTAATCTTGAGGATCACACCGACCCGCGACAGGCCGTCCATCAGTCCCGCCTCTTCCAGTTCGGACGGCAGCCCGCGGAAATAGCCCTGCAGCATGTAGAGCGCGACGGGTATGGTTGTCGCCGGATAGACGACCAACAGGCCGGTCAGCGTGTTGCGCAGACCGAGCTGCGAGAAGACCGCATAGAGCGGGATTACAAGCACGATTGCCGGGACCATGTAGATCAGGAGTACCGAGCGCGCCAGAAACGCCTGCCCGGGAAAGCGCAAGCGTGAAACCGCATAGGCCCCGGGCACAGAAAAGAGCAGCGTCAGAACCACGGTCGCGACCGAAACATAGGCGGACACCAGCAGGTAACGGCCGAAATTGAATTGTGTGAACAACTCGACATAGGACCGCAGCAGGCCATCCAGTCCCTGCGAAAAATCAATCGAAAGGTCCAGCGGATTGGCCAGAAGCGTCTGCTGGCTTTTCAGGGACGTCATCACCATGACGTAGAACGGCAAGGCCACGATGATGGTGAAGACAACAAAGCCGATGCCCTTGGCAACACGGATATAGACCACTTCGCGTTCGTAGCGGCTCATCGGTCCGAGCCTGGCACCGGACAGGCAAACACTGGTTGCCCAGGTGGCACCGAGGACGAACAAGATCAGTGCCAGACCCTGCCAGACCGGCACGATACCAATTGGCAGACTGAACGGCGCGGCAAAGGACCCGATCATGAGGATCAGGAACAGCGTGATGGCAGACCATACCCAGGCGGGCATGCCGCTGCTTTTCTCCGAAGACTGCCGCCATACGAAGACAAGAGCGCTCGCCAGACCGGCAACCCCGGCTGCAGTTGCCTGTGGCAGTGCAACCTCGCCCGTGATCAGCGTCAACGTCACAGCGATGACGACGATTGCAGTAACACCCCAGACAAGGCCCGTGACGGCTGCAATCAGGATACTGCCCGGTCTCATAGCCCTTCCTCCTTCGGTGAAAAGCGGATGAACAGGGTTGCAAAGGTGACCAGGACGACAAAGACCACAACGGCCACCGCCGCGCCCGCCCCAAGATTGGAGAGCGCAAAACCCTGTTCATAAACATCGACAGTGAGTGTCCGTGTTCCGGCGTTGCCGCCGGTAAGCAGGAAGATGTCGTCGAACTTGTTGAAGGTCCAGATGAACCTGAGCAGAAACAGCACGGACAGGATGCCCATCAGCTGCGGCAGGGACAGGTACCAGAACTGCTGCAGCGGTGTTGCCCCGTCCATCTCTGCGGCCTCGTACATATCGGTGTTGATCGACTGCATACGCGCCAGAATGAACAGGAAGGACAGCGGGAAATAACGCCAGGCCTCGAACGCGATCACGGTCGTCAGCGCCAGCGGAAACTCCATCGGGATTCCGAACAGCGAATATTCGATTGCGCGTTGGCCGAAGAAATTGATGGGGTCCGTGACGACGCCCATCTTGGTCAGAAGCGCATTCACGGTTCCGGAAAACGGATCGAACAGGACGACCCAAGTGAAGGCCACCGCAATCACCGGCGAGACATAGGGAAACAGGAACAATCCACGCACGAACCCCCTGCCGACAAACGTCGTATGCAGCAGCTGCGCAGCGAACAGGCCCAGCACCAAAGCACCTCCGGTTCCGAAGATGGTGTAGTAGAACGTCACTCGCAGAACCGACCAGAATTCATCAGCGCTGAAAATCCTCCGGAAGTTTTCCAGGGAGAAATCGAAATTGGTGAGGATGTTGTCCGCATCCCCTTCTATGACGGGCTTGCTTGCCCGTTCGGGTCTGTTGGCGGCAAGGAAAGCATCCGTTACCGTGCCTTCCAGTTTCAGCCGTTCGCGCCACCCCGGGTCAACCGTACCGATTGTGCAGGTCAGATCCCGTCCGCTCATCGCACAATCCTCGGGAAGTGCCGTCACGTTGAACCCTTCCGGCACCTCATCGGTCAGAACGACGTTGCGAACTTCCGCGTCCTGGGACGAATTGCGCAGGCGATACTGGATTTCCGCGCTGTCCCCGGCCGCCGCGGGTTTGCCGCGCACGCGCTCGTTGACCAGCACTGTGGGAGGACGCAGATCGGCAAGTTGCACCGGCTTCACGCTGATCCAGAAATTGGCCAGCAGCGGACCGGCGACAATTATCAGAATAATCGCAAATGTCGGCGCGAGCATCAGATAGGCCAGCCACATCTCACGGCGCTGCAAGGGACCGATGCCTTTTGGCGGTCCGGACGAGTCCTGTTGTTGGTTCTGTGCGCTCATGGCTCTAGAGCCCTTTTCTGGAATAAGATGTCACTCGAATTCGAGCAGCGCCGGAACAAATCGTCCCCGGCCTCCCGCAAAGACGATTGCGGGAAGAAATTCGTGTCGGGATCGGGCGCGGGCAAACTCCATGCCCGATCCGAAAGATTTGAAGATGGGAGTGATCCGCCCGCTCGCGGGCGGATCAGCACGTTTCCAGGCGTTACTGGATCTTGGCCAGCTCTTCGTTGAGCTTGGCAACCGTTGCAGCCGCATCCCGCTCATCATCGATGTACTCGCGCACGAGCCGGTTGATCACCTGACTGTTGATGATCTTGGAGGCAAGCGAAAGCTGGCCTTCTGTGACACCCCATCGGCTGGCCGTGTCCAGACCGGCAACAATCGTCTTGATGGTCTCCGGATCATAGAGTTCGGTCAACGGTGCCTTGCGATCGACGCCGACCGGGAGCTTTGACCAGCCGTCGATAAATGCCGTTGCATTGTCCGCATTGCCGCGACGGATCGGAAACTTGCCTTCAGGCGCGATCGACAACGTCGACATGTAGCCGTCATCCATCGAGAATTCGATAAACTGCATCGCCGCTTCCGTATCCGCGTCATTGGTGATGCCGAAATAGCGGACGTCGCCCCAGGCTGCGCCATCGGGATTGGACGGTCCGCTCAGCGTGGTTACGACACCGGTCTTCGACGCCAGTTCCTTCGAAGTCGGATCGTCGGTGATGGTGGGTGGCGCGCTGTCACGCAGACCGGCGAGTTCATCCAGAATGAAAGGGGACCAGATGATCATTGCGGCTTTGCCGGCAAAGTAAAGTTCCCGCGACTGCTTCCAGAAAAGATCGCCCGGAGGAGAAGCCTTGGCAATTGCCTTGTAGAAATCCAGCGCTTCGATGGTTTTCTTTTCATCCAGCGCCTTGAAGCCGTTCCCGTCAACCGGTGTCACGCCGTTGGCGAGAAGAACATGCTCGAGCACCTGGCTCATGAAGTTCTCGTCGATCTTGGTCGCGGCAACGAAGGCGAACATTTCCGGTGGATTGTGCAGTTTCTCCACAGCGGCCAGAATATTCTCGTAGCTGTCCGGAGCGGCCAGGCCGTTCTCTTCAAAAAGGTCTTTCCGATAGACCACCATCTGGGTCCAGCCGTCGACCGGAACCGAGGCGATCCCGCCTTCCACTGCCGCCATTGCTACGGCACCGGGAGCGAAAGTGTCGGTCCCGAGCGCTTCAACCACTTCGGTTGCCGCTTCCGTATCCAGGATACCGGCTTCCGCCCAGGGCAAAGCATATTGCAGGGTGTGATAGATCACATCCGGCAGGTCGCCGGCCGCAAACGCAGCCGTGGCACGGGTGCCAAGATCGGATTCAGACACCGGAATGACGTCGACTTCAATGCCTGTCTTGTCCTTGAAGGCTGCCGCCAGTTCTTCCTGCTTGGCCAGACGCTCGGGTTGTTCCTCCGTCGTCCAGAAGCGCAGTGTGTCTGCTTCGGCCGCAGTCAACCCGAGCGCAAGCACGCCGGCGATGGTCGAGGCCAGGAATTTACTCCTCCCAAACATTTCATTCTCCCTTACTGCCAGAAAGTGGCTGTTGGTTCAGCCGGTTCCGGAGCGCAAGTGCCAGCGCTTCCGAGGTCATGGACGGTGCGCCGTCAGAGGCGCGCCGGATTAGTTTCGCCTTGGCAAGAGCCTGCAGACTTTGAGGTGATTTGCCGTCGAGCACGTCGATCAGCATGCGGGCAACCCGGCCGCCTGCTTCCTGTGCGCTCTGTGAAAACGTGGTCAGCGGCGGGTCGAGATACTCCCCCACGGGCAATCCGTCATATCCGATGACGGTTACGTCAGATCCTGCCTGAAGGCCGAGTTTTCGGCAGAACTGCACGGCACCTATGGCAAGCGCATCGGTCGCACACAGGAGTGCCGTTGGCGGTGCATCCAGTGAAAGTAGCGTCTCCGCACCCTTGAAGCCGCCTTTTTCGCTGATCGCCTGGAGTGTTTCCAGATCCTGGTCGTGTGCCAGTCCGAGAGCTTCCAGTCCTTGCCTGTAGCCGTCGCGGCGTTGGCGGGCAAAATTCAGGTCAAGCGATCCACCCAAAAACCCTATTCGCTCATGGCCGAGACTGTAGAGATGCCGGACGCCATCAGCGAAGGTTGTCTCGTTGTCGATATCGAACCATGCGTAGCTGGACGGATCGCCGGTTCGTCCATGCGCGACAAACGGGAATTTCTGTTCCATGAGGTAGGCAATACGCGGGTCGTCGACTTCCGTTCTTGTGACGATAAATCCGTCCACTTTCCGCCGCGCGATAAGCCGTTTCAACGTCGTGATCAGGTGTTCGCGCGAATGTGCCGTTGTCACCAGCAGATCCAGGCCAAGTTCATCAAGTGCTCGCGCGATTCCATCAATGAATTCGGCCAGGAACGGATCCGCGCCATTGCCATGCCCGACAGGGATCACGATGCCAAGCGTATCCTGCCGCCCACGCTTGAGGTTTCTTGCCGTCGCTGACGGCTGGTAACCCAGCTCTTGCACGGCCTTCAGGATTCGCTTGCGGGTATTTTCCGAAATGTCCGTATAGTTGTTGAGGACGCGCGAAACGGTTCCCTTGGCAACGCCGACATGGCGAGCCACATCGTCAATCGTGACGGAACCGCGAAGACGCGACATATTTCCTCCCTATGGGCATTTGGTGCCCGATTTCGACCGCATGCGGAATGAGATCCGAAACGGCATTTATTGAAAATAAGTGTCACAAAACCGGTTTTGTAAGTCAACAAAATCGGTTTTGTAACGAAAGAAAAGATTTTTCGCATTGCGGCAACGTGCTGGCGACAAAGCAAAACCTTGTTGAAACTTGTTTCGGAAAACAGGGGTTATGGATGGTTCTTTGAGGCAATCTGAAGCCAACCAGCGACGACACCGCTTCGGTCAGTCGTATTCAGGCTGACCATTCCTCATTGCGGCACACTGTTTGCGTGGCTGCACCAGGCTGGGACCTGTTTCCCGGTCTCAATCTTCACACAGTCATCCCAAGCGGCAATGAGAAAAGAAACCGACCTTGCCGTCGTCCGGTCCATACGAGGCTCAAAAGGGAACGGAAGAAACAAGTATGATGTTGGCATAGGGTGTGACTTCGCCCGTGCGCACGACAGCCCGAGCCTGCTGGCTGCGTACCTTGAAGTCATCATGCAATACACGGACCTGCTCAATCGGCTTGCCGGTTTCCGCCTCCCAGTGCGCCAACTTCACCTCGATCCTTGTAACCAGCTCCGGCCCCGCTTCTTCGGCAAAAATCGCCTTTTCGACGATCAGTTCCCTGGACAGCGCATCGAACACATCGAAAAAGCTTGGGATTCCGGGCGAGACTGCCAGGTCGATCACTCTGACATTGGGCGGCACAGGAAGCCCTGCATCCGCGATCACGATCTCGTCCATGTGCCCGAGCGAGGCCACGAGCTTGCTGAGGTGACGATTGAGGAGAGGCGTGCGTTTCATGGCATTCACTTCAAGCTTTTTCAGTCTTCCGGAGCGCGCCGGAAAAGTTTTTCATCGGCCAGCCTAACCCTTTCCTGAACAACCGCCAACCCGATCGTGTCGCCACGACAACCGCTCCGTATTCGCTCATCTTCGGCAGTCGGATCATCGACCGTTTCAAGGTCTTGGGTGTCGGCGAAAATATCGCCACGGAAAGCCTTTCCCAAGATTTCTACCGCATCGAATTGCCGGCTTGCCCACCCTCATTAAACAACCTAAAGTTTTGTTTGAATCTGGCATCAGGCGAATTGGCGAGAGGATTAAACTTCTGACCAGTTTTGTACAAAGAATCGTAACCCGGCTGCTTGAGAAAACTGCTGAAAGAACCGGACTGCGAAAGAGCGAGAAGAAATCCAGTTCACTTTTGCGAAGACGGAATCAGACGGACGCCGAGTGGGAAAATGAGGTCCAGGCGTTTATCAAGGAACACAGCAAACGGTTAAAGGACATGCCGCCCGGCCCTAGAAGAAGCTATCCCGCCACGTCCAAGAGCTGGGACATAAAACCATTCGGGCGGGCGATCGAGATACCGTACTCTGACAACTTTACCGCTGAAGAGTACGCAAGGTTGAAGCGCGGCCTGATCCCTGAGGCAATGGAAGAAAAGTGGTTCATTTATTTCGAAGATCACGAATTGCATTTCCATAGGGGCTGGACAGGTCAAGGCATTTTTCGCGTTGAATTACAGGAAGAGGAGTCCGGTGACGCGTCAGTCAAGAGAGCCTTATTTGCAACCGACGACGCTGTGTCCGACATGGTGCACCTGGTGGAATTGCTCCGGTTTCTGGTTGGCAATTTACTGCTTGATCGTCGCCTTCCATTTCCCAGGTCAATGTCCTCGAGTGAGCCCGCTCCGGGCGTGATTCAGCATTCCTTTTCCGGCACGGGATATCCTGAAAAAACACTCGACAAAAAATAGTGGAACTGTACCGACTTCAGCTGCATTGACGAGTACCTGAAGCCACCTTGCATCGCACCTCTCAGGTCCTGGCCGCTACTCCTCCGGCAAGTCTCCTTCCGGTGGCTGCCAGAGTTCGATCGCATTGCCTTCCGGATCGAGAAAACGGAAAAACCTGCCGTATTCCTCATCGTCATAGCCGAGTTCGGTGACCCCGTCTGCCTTCAGGCTTGCCATCAACGCGTCGATATCCGTGACCCGCAGATTGATCATGAACCGGTTTTCGGCCGGTCCGAAATAGGACGTCTCGGATTTGAACGCCGCGACAACAGAAGGACCTGCATTCTGGTGCAGCCAGCTACCCAGACTGATGTCGAAGTGTTTCTTGTAAAACGCAGCTTGCTTGTCAGGGTCTGTGCTCTTGAAGAAAACCCCGCCGATGCCGTCGATTTTGCCGCCATGAGCCATATCCGCATGCCTTCTGTCTTGCGCTGGTGCCCCGCATCGAAGGATAATAAGTCGGGCATGACTGGGTGCCAACGAATTTTCGCAAGTTACTGCGGCTTCCAAAACGAAGAACGGCCCCGAGAGGGGCCGTTTGACAATGTCAAAACTCGAGGCTTCAGTTCTGTCGCGTTCGCCGCCTGACTATGCCCATCAGCATGACGCCACCGGCGAGAAGCGGAAGCGATGCGGGCAATGGGACGGTCGATACCGGTACCGTGGATACCGTAATCTCGTCAACGACAAGCTTCATGTATATGGGACTGTAGCCCGGATAATAATAATTGCTTTGCACAGCCGCCGTCACCTCGAACTCGGAGGCTTTAAAATTCAAAAACGCACCGGGCGTAGAGGCAGAAGTTATCTGATAGGTATAGACGCCAGAAGTCGTACCTTTCGCAATGCGTGCGAAATCGATAACCGCCGCAAAGCGAGGCTGGTGCGCATAAATATTGTCAGATCCAACAAATCTTGAATAGATACCGTTTGGGGCATTGTGAACCCCGATCAAGTCCTTTCCAACATACAAAGATGACAAACCGTCGAAACCGGGCCTGGATATTGTGGCTCCCAGACTGAAACCGATTCCATTGTATGCAGAAGTCAACACCGGAACAGAAAACTTAACTGTTAGCAGGTTGTTGACATCCGCGGTCATAGTTATCGCGTTTGCACCCTGCGCAATCGGAAAAAAACTTGCCAGAACGACAACCATTCGCATCAAAAACTTCATCGCACACCCCCAAATTTCTTAAACCCTGGGTAGCATTGCTTTTATTGAGATTCAACATCAAAAAATCAAACATATACTAACACTTAGAAAGAAAATTCAGCGAAAAACATGGATTGGCTACATTTAGAAAACACACCCTTGGCTGTGTCATAACTGTGAAATCAGCCGATGCACATCGCATTTTGCCATTGGTCGAAAGCGCGAGTTAAAAACGGGCAACTACGAGCGCCCTGCCGCGAAGTCTCATACCGGCAGCCGCTCCATTTCACGCCAACGACACCAGCGCCTCACATAAAGGAACCGCATCATAATACGGCGCGGACTTTATTGTGATCAGATCGAGCTTAAGCACTGTAATCCCGCATGCGCTGATTTCTGCGGTTTCAGCGTCCGGAACACTGCTATCGACAATCACGAAATTGAGCAGCCTGTGCGTGGGACAATCGGCACCCGCGTCCAGGCGAAGATAGGTCAAAAGCGTATGCACCCTGTCGGCGAGGTTGAGGTTCCTTGCTTCCGGGTCCTCGCCGAGACTTGGAACATAGACTTTCGGCACAGTGCGTGAGGCAACTGCCTTGCCGACACCCTTCGGCAGGAGATTGGCGACAAGGCTTGTGTAAAAACTTCCGGGTGCAAAACAGATCAGATCCGCCGTCTGAACAAGTGACCGGTTGCGATCAGGAAAGAGTGCGGTTGCCGGATCCTTGCTCTTAAGCCCGCTATTCAGGAAGAACTCCTTGATTGGCGATGTCAGCGCCGGATGCTCCTTGCCGGTCAGAAGATGCTGGCCAATGATGACCTCGCCCGACGCCAGTTCCGCCCCAAGATGCAGGTTGTCGTCGGTTATCGCGCGTACCGTTCCCTGCACACCCACCAGTTTGGAAACCAGGAATATGATCGGCTCGAGTTGCTGGTTCTGCCCGAGGTAACCACCTGCCAGGATGAGATTGCCAATGCTGGCTCCGCGCAAATCGAATGTTGCAGGACACGCGGTTCGGAAGACACCCAGCTGGTTCTGGATCAGCATGCGCATCGGCTCCTCGATTGCTTCGACAAGCTGATGCGTTCCGGCAATCATGCGGTCGAGTTGACCTCTCAGGTCGTCAGGTCTGGCGGACTTTGCGAACCTGTGGGTAAACAGGCGGAAGACTTCCGGATGACCAAGAACCGTTTCGTCTGCAAGGGCCATCAAGCGGCTTCTGAGATCACCGATAGCCGGCATGTCGAATGCAAGGCGCAGACCCTGGGAACTGCCGCCGGAATCAAATGGCGTAACCAGGTGGACCGAGTTGTGCGTGTAGCGCTTCAAGCCTTGCGCCACGCCGTTGAGCGCCGACCCCCCGCTGAAAAACAGAAGCTGCGGTCCCAGCTTTGGATTGGACAGAAACCGCTCGATGCGGAACAGGTCCGGCATGCGCACTGCGCGGGTGATGGTGACTTCGGACATTCCAACCCCTGCTGATGAAATCATCCCGTGGCGGACTGCCGCTGCCGGTGGATCAGGTTGCTACCCGACCCATATGGCACGGAAATCGTTTACATTTGTCAATGTCGGTCCGGTGACGACCTGATCATATATCTTTTCAAAAAATGTATGGGCGTCATTGTCTGCAAGAGCATCCGCCGCAGACACCCCGGCTGCCTCGGCCTTTGCCAATGTGTCCGGGCCGATGACAGCTCCTGCAACCTCGGCCGCACCGTCGACACCATCCGTGTCGCAGGCGATTGCATGAATGTCCTTGGTGCCCTGAAGCGCGAGCGCCAGGGCAAGGGCATATTCCGCGTTCGGACCACCAACACCATTCCCGTTCCGCGTCACGGTCAGCTCCCCGCCCGATAGCAGCAGCAGCGGACGATCTGAACCGCTGCGTCGACGCTTGCGCTCAAGGGCGAGGTCGGCATGGGTTCGGGCCACATCGCGTGCTTCGCCTTCCAGCGCGTCGCCGAGAATTTCAACATCACATCCGGTCGCCTCTGCCATCTCTTTCGCCGCTTCCAGCGATTGGGAAGGTGCTGCAAAGATCGTGTTCGTGACATCGGAAAGTGCTTCGCTTTGCGGTGACAGAACACCGGTGTTCCCATTCAACACGTCCTGAACCGAGACGGGAACCGCGATACCCCACTGCTCCAGGATCGCCTTGGCATCTTCAGATCGGCTGGCGTCGCCAACCGTCGGTCCCGACCCGATTTCCGCCGGGTCGTCGCCCGGCACATCCGACAGGAGCAGCGCCAGCATCCGTGCCGGACTGGCGGCGGCGGCTAGCTGACCGCCCTTGACCGCACTCAGATGCTTGCGGACTGTGTTCATCTGGCCGATGGGAGCTCCCGAGTTCAGGAGTTTCTGGTTCACGTCCTGCTTCTCAGACAATGATATTTCACCTGCAGGAGCGATGAGGAGCGCAGACGCCCCACCGGAAATCAGCGCCAGAACAAAGTCGTTGTCTTCAAGGCTGCCAACGAGATCAAGCATTCTGCGGGTTGCCACAAGACCGGCCTCATCCGGTACCGGATGGGCCGCTTCGACAATCTCGACCCCCTGGCAGGGTCGCCCATAGCCATAGCGCGTAATCACAAGCCCTTCGCAGGGACCCCAGACGTCCTCAACCGCTTCGGCCATCCGGGCAGATGCCTTGCCGGCACCGACAACAACCACACGACCGTCCGGCTTTTCAGGCAGGAAGGCTGCGAGACTTTTCATTGGATCGGCCACTTCCACAGCCCGCTGAAACAATTGACGCAGTACGGCAGCAGGCTGTTCGCTCATCAGGACTTCACCTCTTCAACTTTTGGACAGTTTGGGTTTCTTGAGCGCTGTTTTGCAAAAAAATTCAAGGGCCGATCAAGGCAAATCCGTCTTCAGGCCAAGCAAAACATTGATTCCGCGCATTTGCGCACGATGCAATTTCGGGAATATCAATTGAGTTTTCCGGTCGGCAACATCACTTACCAATGCAACAAAGGACGGTAGCATGATGGATACGACGATCCCTGCCTTCAGCGAAGCGATTAGAAATCCGGACAACCCGGCACATATGATGGTGATCAAGGACGTGCCGCGGCGCATCCGTGTCTATGCCGGTGACATGTTGCTTGCAGATAGCAGCAACGCGCTCCGGGTGATTGAGGTCGGCAAGTCGGTTTATGACCCTGTCGTCTATATTCCGGAAGACGACCTTGTTGGTTCGCTTGAGCCGATCGAAAAGTCGACATATTGCCCGATCAAGGGCGATGCCAGCTACATTGCTCTTGATGGGGAAGAGGTCGGTTGGGTCTATCGGAATCCCATCCCCATGACTCACCGCCTGAAGGCGCATTGCGCGTTCTGGCCGGCCAAGACCCGGCTGGTTGAAGGAGACTGAAATCTGTTCCTTCGCTGCTCCGGACCTGATCCGGAGCCCTTGAAAAGCATTTGACAAGGGAGGAACGTCACCCTTGATTGTCACCCCTGCGCAAGCGGCAACCCCGTGGCAACAGTCTCAAAGGCGCCTCGCAACGACTGCATCGTACCGGGTCCCGGATCTCCGCCGTTCAGCGTCCGGAATAACCATTGCCACGTCTTCGCTTCTTTCACTCTACACCTTACGTTGCCAACTATCCCTCCACAACCGGACCAAGGCATTCCACGATCCGCATCCAGCCGCCCTCGTGATTGCTCCGGCTTTCTTCCGACGGAAACTTCACATGCGTCAGCGTGAGTTCAGTCCCGCCGTCCACTTCGACGAAATCAAGTGTTACAACACTGTCCGGTTCGGAAAACGGGCTCTCCCAGGTGAAGGCAAGCCGGCTGTGACGAGTGATTTCCTTGTAGGTTCCGGCGTGCGGAATTTGCTGGTCGCCCGCCTGCATGACGATTTCGAACCGGCCGCCCACAGTCGGGTCGGCCGTCGCCTTCGGCACCGTCATGCCCGGTCCGGGCGTCATGAATTTGGAGAGCGCTTCCGGGTTCAGCCAGGCTTCGAACACGCGTTCGGCCGGGGCCGCAAACTTGCGCGAGACCACAACACTTAGATCATTCATCATCCGGCTCCGTTTCAAGTATCTTGTCGAGCGCGTCGAGGCGTTGTGTCCAGATGGATCGCAGGTCCTGGAACCAGCGATCGATTTCACGAACCGGCCCCATGTCCGGTTCGATCAGATGCTCACGCCATTCGGTTCGCCGGCGCACCAGGCCGGCGGCTTCCAGAACCTTGATATGCTTCGACACGGCATTCAGGCTGACGTCGAAATGCCTGGCGAGATCCGTGACCCGTGTCGGTCCGTGCTGCACCAGAAGGGTCAGCAATTCGCGCCGGCGCGGATCACTCACCGCTTTCAGGATCGCGGTGAGCATCTGATCATCAGGCTTTCGTTCAACCATTTAGTTGAATTACCTCAAACAACAAAATTAGTCAACCAATTAGTTGAATGAATTTACCCACCGTCAAGGAATGGGCTCATTCGCTTATGCCCTGCCGACATCCTCGACATAGACCAGCGCCCTGCCCTGGCAGATCCGTGTTCCGTCCGACGTCCGGCAAACGGTTTCCAGGTCGACCAGGTGTTTTTCAGGTCGCAGACGCGTGACTGTCACTGTAGCGGTGAGTTCTCTGCCGACGGGCGCAGGTGCCAGAAATTCAAGACTTTGCTTCAGATAGTTCGTCCCGCGTCCCGGCAACCTGACACCAAGAAGATATGAAAACAATCCGCCGATCAGTGGGCCGGGCACGGTTTCCGGAGCCTGCGCTGTCGCCCCTGAAAGATTTGCGAATTCCAGCATGTCCTCACCGGTATAGGTCCGCACGAGTTCCACTGTCTGTCCGATTTCCAGGGTCATGACATCTCTCCAAGGTCACAGGTGCCCAAAAGCGTGACGGCGCCGTCACCACTGCGCCTGATCTCGATCATGATCCGGCCAGGCTGATCCGGGCTTTCGGCAAACGAAAGCACCAGTTCTTCGTCGGCATAGGATGGATTTGGAAACATGAGGGTCTGCAGTTCATGCTTCCGACCGGGATAAAGCGCCTCAAGGTGCCCGAACACCCGTGCATAGAGAAGCATCCCGTGCGAAACGGTTCGCCCGAACCGGGTGCGGGCCGAAAACGCGGGGTCGACATGGATTGGGTTGTCGTCACCTGAAATCCTGGCAAAGGCATCAAAATCGGCCTGTCGCGGGGTCCATGTGAACTCGTTGCGCGTCAGAACATCGGCAAGGCTCATGGGCAGGCATCCTCCGGCAGGGTTTGTGCTGACATGCGATCTTTGAGCATGGTCTTTTGGACTTTGCCCGCGGCGGTGCGTGGCAGATCCTCGACAACGGCAAAACTTTTCGGGATCTTGTAGGGTGCCAGGCGGTTCCGGCACCATCCGGGCAGATTTCCGATCTCAATGCGTTCCCCCGGACGCAGGATCAGGAAGGCAGTCCCGACCTCCCCCCATTTTTCGTCCGGAACGCCGACAACGACTGCCTCGAGAATGGCGGGATGACTGACCAGAACCTTTTCCACCTCGGCTGGATAAACGTTCTCTCCACCCGAGATAAACATGTCCTTGATACGGTCGACGATGTAATAGTATCCATCCTCGTCACGCCGGCCGACGTCTCCGGATTTGAGCCAGCCGTCACCCGTAAATGTTGCAGTTGTCGCCACCTCGTTGTCCAGGTAGCCGGGCGTGATGTTCGGTCCACGAAACTGGACTTCCCCTTCGCCGGGTCCTTCGACGATCTCACCGTCAGAACCGGCCAGCCGCACATCGGTCAGGATCTGTGGCTTTCCGACGGACCCTACCTTTTTCGCAGCATGTTCGGGATCCATCAGGAACACCGTTGGCCCGGTTTCAGTCATGCCCATGCCATTGCAGATGGTGACACCGCGTTTCTGAAAATCGGCGAGCAGGTGTTTGGGAACCGGCGCGCCACCACATCCCAGCGACCGAACCTTTGAAAAATCCGTCCGATCGATTTTGGAAGACAGCGCCATGGCCTGATAGATGGCTGGAACACCGAAGAAACTTGAAACGCTGCCGGCATCGATCAGATCAAGCACGATGTCCGGCTCGAACTTGCGCAGGATGATTGAACACCCCCCGTTCAGGAAGATCGGCAATGTCGGCAGGTTGATGCCTGCCGTGTGGAACAGCGGCAGGAAATTGATGCCCTTTTCGCCAATGCTCAAGCCCGTTGCCTGGCAGTAGTTGATCATGTTGGCATAGGCCATGCCGGCGGTCTGGACGACAGCCTTGGGCACACCCGTCGTCCCCGAAGTGAAGAGCAGGTACCACGGCGCGTCCGATCGAATCTTGCCGCAACCGATCGCCGCGGCACTTGAGCCGGTCAGCAAGACGTCGAGTGCGCTTTCACCATTGCTTGCGGCGCCAATCGGCAGCAACGCGATACCGCATTTGTCGCTTAACTCCCGCGCATTCTCCGCGAAGTGCTCATCGGCAAACAGAAGCTTTATGCCGGCGGCG